CGTATCAGATGGTTTCTGCTGTGAGCCTTGGGGCCAGTCCCACTCAGGAACTGGGGCAACATCGCTGAGTATCCCAGAGTTCCCCCACCTAAGATCTGAAGATGCTGAGCAGTGCCTCCACCAATCTCGGCTGTCATTCACTGAGGGCTGTTCCTGGTGATACTACATGTGTAGCACTGATGGCTGGCTCTGCACGGCCTAAGCATGCTTGGGAGAAGGCAGAGAGCTGCATGTGTTTGCCATGAAAATGCCATTAATCAGTATGGAGCTTTGAAATGAGAGCCAAGGTTAGGAACAGGGCACTACTATCTATACTGATAATTAGGTATTGTTATTCCCATTACACAAAGATAATGTCAGGCAAGTCTCTTATTTGTGACGCTTTAACATTTCTGAGCATCTGTCTACCTTCTTGGGCTGGTGGACTGAGGTGGGTGCCGGGAGATGTAAAAACAAAGAAACATTCCTTGTCTTTGAAAATTCAGCATCTCTGAGTCCACAGCTCATCTAGACTAGTTGCTTGTGGTTTTTTTTTTGCCTTCTGTCACTGTCAAGTGATCTGAATGAGTCTGAAAGGAACACTTGGTCAAGTGGAGTTTTAGGTGCTGTCAGCCACATGCCTTCCTGATTCGGGGGTCAAGAGCTATTCTCCGTGTTCACTGCTGTATCCCCACTGCTGTATCCCCACTAAACGCTACATTGCATTCTAGCTTTCTCTTCTTCTTCGTTTTTTTTTTAAACTACATTCAGAAAATCATTTTTCCCTGACTTGAAATTCCTAAGCAATTATTGTACCCTTGTTGACATTTCACTGTTACATCCACATCCCCAAAAGAGTAGTTATGAAAATATAATGTGAAAAAAGAGAAACATCATCATTTTAATTGGTGAGGATTAATCAAATTATAAAACTCTTCTGTATTAACCTCAATGAACTGCTTTGGAGTCTCACCTCCAAAGCTGATGTAAAGGTAACCTGAGCTGTCCTGCGAGGGCTATTTATATCCATTAATTGTTACAACACAAGACACTCTGGGTCTCAGCTGGTTGCATTTCTTCTGTATTTGAAATGTGCTTCTCAGCAGAGAACCGAGGACACCATTGGGACTCATTTGAGTCTGACTTTCACATTAATTTTGCTGTGCTGTGAAGAGCAAAGACAAAATCAATGTCCATCAGTGATTATTCAAGGTAAACTATCTAGTGATATTGAATATCAATGGCAGCACCAGGCATAAAATTTACTTAAGATTTGTTGAGTTGACAGCCATTTATTTTAGTCTTGCTTCATTTTTCATGTTGCACCTATTTTTTTTTTTTAGGAAAATAAAAAGAATTACAAGGAAAAAAAATTCGACTTGTTCCATTTGCCAAAAACCAGATCTATTTCGGAATGGTAGAGTAGAATTAAAGTTATAGGATTTTACAAGCCTAACTAAGAATATCTTTCCAACTGGTAGAAACAAAATATTTCACAGTGCATATTGACACAAAACCATGTGATTCAATTAAATTTTCATAATGAAGGCTCTTTGTAACCCGTGACTGAACTTGAAAAAAGGAAGAGCCGTGAGCTATTTCTTGGGTCCTGAATAAATATGCTTAGGCTGAACACATGCTTATGGCAAAAGAGTAATAATACCTCTGGGCTTCAAGTTTTATTTGTTTGAACCATTATGTTGAAATCCAAAAATGCTCTCAATGACATGTATGTTTGAAGAAATTGCAAACAAAACCAAACAACAATAGTAAGAGAATATTAAAACATCTCTTTTTATCATGCCGGAGGCTCCAGTATGACTTTCTGGTCAGATAACGGTAGGACAGGGGACATGGGAGGGAAGGAGGGTCTCTAATGGGTCCACGCGGGGGCCACAGGCAACCTGGAAGGTACACTTTGCCATCAAATTGAGCTGGTAGTAATGTTAGCCAGACACATACATCATTTCTGCTCTTTCCACCTGAACTACTGTTTACACATTCAATGTGGTTGAACAGAAAAGACAGGGAAGAAATTCAGGCGTCAGGCTTTTCTTTATCTTTCTGACAGCAAACAGTCAGTGTGAGTTGTCTGTGTCTTCATCGGCTATTTTGCCACAGTGTACTCGATACTTGGTGTCTTATGTGGGAATTATCTTTCAAAATATTATTTTGTACCTTTCAAAAATTATCTTTCACCCTGACTGATGTGGCTCAGTGCATTGAGTGCCAGCCTGCGAAACCAAGGGTTGCCAGTTCCATTCCCAGTCAGGGTACATGCCTGGGTTATGGGCCAGGTCCCCAGTAGGGGGTGCACAAGAGGCAACCACATATTAATGTTTCTCTCCTCTTTCTTGTTCCTTTCCCCTTTCTCTAAAAAAATAAATAAGTGAAATCTTTAAAAAAATTATCCTTCACTTTTTAGTTTTTGCTATATTATGTAATTTCTCATGAGAACTTTAGAATTCAGCCCCGAGGGATATTTATTTCTTTGTTTGTTCACATGACAGGCTCCCGAAGGCCAAGGGCAATGCAATCAGATAAAGTTGTTTTTCAATTAAATTTATTGGGGTAACATTGGTTAATGAAATTATATATATTATGAATATTGCACTGTGTGCTCACCAGCCAAATTCTAATCTCCTTCTGTCCTTGGACGTGTGACCTGCTTTACCGTCTTCATTCTGTCCCCAAACTGAATCAGATACACTTTTATCCTTTCCACATTACCTCTCTCTTTCAAGGGCCTGAGTTTTGACCTGATCTCCAGGTTGGAAGATGTAGGGCTGATGATGAACTAGAGAGAGTAATTCGGAGGTCATGGGTTGACATCTGAGGCTTGGGGACAGGTCTAATTAAAAATCAGTGCATGCATGTCCTACATTCGATCTAAGCCCCTTCATCGGGGCCACGGCAGGGCTATAGAACCTACGTATCAGATAGGCCCACAGGTGCTGGAGGAAGGACGTAGTGGTGGCTGATAGCCAGGGCCAGGAGTGCCAGGCAGAGGGCACGTGGGGGCGTGTGCACAGTGGATATGGAGATGAATGGAATAATACTCTGCCTTCAAGGAGTTCACAGTATTGTGAGGGAAACAAGTAGATGCTAAAACAATGGAAGTTTGGAATGACAAGGTAACAAGAATAATAGCTTTACAAAGAGAGGAGAAATACATTCTTAGATTTCCCAACATCGGGGAGACTTGACTTTGTGGGACGGAGGAGGGATTTAGAAACGTGGCAGAAAGTGGCGGGGTCCGTTCACATGGCTGCATTTAAGGCCACATCTCCAGCCTCTGCATCCTTCTTAGAGAAAATCAGCACCCAAGGCTGACATCGTGGCCTAGTAAATTCCTCTCCTCCTGGGTAGGGCCAGGGCGAGGGCTTATAGGTGTGAGATGGACCACCTGTACCTATTTCAGAATTTTTATTCTATGTACTGAATCCTATACATTTGGTTTTCAGTCAATGTTGATATGTTTCTACCCTCTACACTTTATTGCCAGGTGGGCATAGGACAAGTTTATTTTTATCGTTTGATTTTCATGCCTCACACAGCACCTGGAACGAAAGGGCAGGCTCTGCAAGCGTGTGTTGACAATAAGTATGAGCCCAGAGGAGGCAGCCTGTGTCTGGAAATTCAGATCTCAGTTTTCTTGCTAATTACTCTCAAACCTTACCAATCCGCGTCAGCAGCTTCAGTTTTCATTATAGGTAGAATGGGGGGTACAACTATTTATGCCCAAGGAGGATCAAAAATTTTTTTGCATTAGTTTTGCCTGTTTTGGGAGTTCAATATAAACAGAATCATAGAGTATGCATGCGCTCCTTTGTTTCTGACTTTTTTCTCAAAATAAAATATTTTAGGTTTTTTGTTTTGCTGATGTATCATCACTTTGCTAACTTAAAAGTTTCAACATTGTATTAATAAACCACAATATATCAAACTGCATGGTTATACTATTCATGCAGTATCTGAAGTAATCAATAATTCACATATGAGTGTGCCATTCTCCTATTGGTGAACATTTGGGTTCCTTCTGCTTCTCAACTACTATAAATAAAGCCGTTCTGAATATTATTGTGCAGTCTTTAAAGGTCTCCTCAACATACTTTGGTCTGACTCCTAAAAATTCAGTCTGTTTGATATTGGACATATTTATCCCTCAATGCTCTTTACTATCTAGACACACAGACATTTATTCTTCGTTCTAGATTTGTCCAGATAAAATTTGAATACATGGATTCCCCATCCATTAAACAGGTGGACATGATTACTTTTCACTCCAAAGACATATTTTACAAGAGAAACACTGCATGTGTTCTGCAAAGATAAGCTCTTTCTTGTGACAGGTTCTATCCAATTCTCATCAGATAACTTTGTCTTCTTGTCATTGTTTGCAGTTATTGATGGATCAGCATCTGACCTTCTTGGAACAGCCTAAAGTAGGCTCAGTGGCCGGTGTCTGATGCTTACATGCAAATTGATGTCCGAGTTTCCGACACTGGACACTCCAACAGGTCCTTTATTAGAGTTTTCTGTAGAGTAGAAAAGCTAAAAATGGCCCCTGGACATGTCCTAATATATTAGGACAGGCATGAAATGCAATTGTCCTTCTGATAGTTGTTCAGAAAAAAGGACTGGAAAGTAGGCCATTGGCTAGAATTCAAATGGTTGGTAATGTCTGAGGTTGGCTGCTTTCTGGTTGGTTGGTATAACCAGAGGGTAGGTAACTGGGGTTGAAGATTAAGGTGTCATCTGCAGGCCAGAATAACCTTGTTGATAAACAACATTCCCTTGTCTTGATTTTTTTTTCTTGAGGTAAGTCTCTAATATCTTCCAAATTAGGAACTTATTCTATACTGGGTTGTAAAGAAATTTATTGACAAAGAGTAGGGTGGGATGTGCCACCTGAATTTTTTTCTTCTTTCAATTTTATTTTGTACTGGTTTGAGTTGTAGAGCTTAGTGGTTAGACAACCCTATGCTTTACCTAGTGTTCCCCTCAGTATGTTTAGTACCAAAAATACAGAACAATTTACAAATCTGTGTGTCATCCTTATACAGGGGTCACGCTAATCTTTTCCATATTCTTCCAATTTTATGGTATGTGCTGCTAAAGCTAGCACGCCATGCTAAATGTTTTACACATGCAGCGTATAGCACATATATCCGCATGCATCCCACACATATGTAAGATTAAAATGTGCCAGGTATCTGTGTCATGTCTATGATCTACCACAGTGAAGTGGACAACATGATCGCTAACCTCTGTTTCAAGCCTAAAATCCTCGACAGAAAAGTTTGGTTTATTTTTGATCCTTTGCCACCTCCTTTATTTCCTTAAATGTCTGTTCATTATACCACACAAGGTCAAAGAAAATCACTGGAAAACCCATGTAGTTGACTTTTATTAGTGTGTTCAGATAGAGATTTGCCTTCTTCTAAAATATGGCTCCCGTAAAGTTGAAACTTGGGCATAGTCAAGCCTAAAGAAATGGTTTGGCCTTGGTGCTTAGCTCTATGTTGTTATCCTCATTCTGCCCATCACCTGCCATCACCTACCCCCCACATCTTTCCAAAGCTGTGGAACTGGCACAGTCACCACCTGCGAAAAGTGTTAGCTCCAAGCAGAGGCCGGTGGTGCCAAGACAAGGTTCCCAGTCTCCACTTAGAAAAACAGAAAATGACATTGTTAATTGGAGGATGAATATCTTGAGAGTTGTGCCAATATCCCCTTATCTAACTGGCCTTTCAAAATTGAACGCACTCACTGGAACCACTGGATCAGATACCGTCCCTTTTCTCATTGTGGGGAAGACAATTTCTGGACTTTTCAGTCAGTCTCTGTTCCATGCAGATTATATCAAATTTAAAGGAAGGGAAAACCAACCCCATTAGTTTCATTCCACTTTATGGGGAGATATGCAAACCCCATTATGACAATGTACTTTATTTTTCATCTAGAAATTTTCATCAGACACAGTGCAGAGTTAATCTGCTCCTAGACAAAGATGTTAGTTACTGCAATTCAAAATGAAAGAGGCTATAAAAATGTATAATTATAATAATTAGAGTCATAATATTAATGAGAGTGGAATTAACACATTGACCTTCATCTTATTCTACAGGTAAAAACACCAAATTTTGAAGATACAGCTGAAAAAGGTTTTTCTACACCTTGTCTTCTCAAAAGCAATTAATTTCCACATAAAAAAGTGTTATTGGAATTAAAATAGTTTTAAAATATAAATATAGTATTAATTTCTAAGGATATTCTGGCCAATGATTCAAAATAACTCCTGAAACTCACTAATGACATCATCCTACTCACTATTTCATAGAGATATGTGGCAAATGGTAGGCACTTCATTTGAGTTTTCTTGATTAATAAGTGCGCAGACAATGATATCAGTATTCAGGACTTACTTCACAGTGGTATTTAAGTACCTAAAATGTTTGCTATTCATCATAGCAAATTTGAAAGGTAAATATTAAAATATATTACACAAGAAAAGTAATTGTAACTTAATCCCACGGTTCAGAAGAAACCATTTGTTGCATACCATGATGGGTCATTTCCTTCTAGTCTTTTTTCTAAGCGTATTAAAAGCAATAATAATGATAACTGTGATTGTACTCAGATGTACAATTTTGTATACTACTTATTCTAGTTAATCCATTTTCAGTTGTTAATTTATCTCTTTGGACTGTAAGGGCCAGAAGTTCACTTAAAGAAAACAAACCAACCAACAGAAAACAAACCACAAAGAAGGTGGTGGTACATTCTCAAATGGTCGCTCTGGCCTGGACTTGGAACCAAGACCTGTTAGAGGTTGGGACAGCTCTGGTCAGTTTTTCTCTCTCCTGACCTTGTTCTGTGGCTGCTCTCTTTCCTTCTGGGAATCTTCTTTCTTCCTTTTACCACCTGGCTCATCCTTCCCACTGTCTCTAGAAAAGCTTCAGAAGAAGCCAGTCTGGTTGGCATAATTATTTTCCTTTGCCCTTATTAAATGAGAAAGAGAGTGTGAGAGAGAGGTGGGGGGAGAGAGAGAGAGAGAGAGAGAGAGAAAGAGAGAATGAGAACTTGTGTACTTTGGCTGGGTCACAGGCCCCTCCTTGATCAAGCTCCATTTCTAGTTCAATCAGTGGCAATGCATTTGTACAAGAGCCTGATACAATTTCATTGAGAATTTTTTTTTTTGGAAAAGCCACTTTCTACTAAAAGGACAAGTCAAATGGGTGTGTCTAGTATATGCCATTTGTCATATCATTGTAAACTCTATTAACATTTAATTTATTCAGAGGATATATTTTGAGTGTCTACTATGTACCAACACTGATGTAAGTCCTAAGGATACATCAGTAAATGAGGTAGACAAAAATCCTTTTCTTCATGGGCCTGAGAGTCTATTGGGCAGAGTCCAACAGTAATGAATGAATGAATGAATGAATGAATAAAAGTGTGTTAGGAAGAAAAACAAACTAGGGTAAGATATGGAGAAAAATGAGAGAGAGGGACAGAGGTGCTGATGTTGGGGTGGGGTGTGGTTGGGTGGAGGGGGTTGGTTTACAGTCTGGGTTGTCCAGGGAAGTGCTCTGAGATTTGACGCAAGGTTTGAGGAGTAAACCATCAAATTTAAATTATATTTTTATTACTCTTGTTCAGTAATCTTTGTAACAGTTATTAAAATTCATTAAACACAGGTTCCCAGGGCCATTCAGTGCATTTTTGGGGGTCTATTTTTCAATCTTCAGACCACCTGTTACTCTTTCTCTTTCACAGAAGAGGACTCGAAACACAGACAGAATTGGCTGCTTGCTTGTGGTCTGTACATTAGTAAATGAAAGAACCTGAATTTCCAGGTCAGATTCTGGAGCTCCACTCTGCAACGCTGCTTCTGCTCTGCCAGTCTCATACTGGTTTAAACAAAATCAAATAATCCCACAACTGTACAAAGGAGAGTGATAAATGCAGCACAGATTTCCCATCCAGGGTGTACAAAACCAATGTGTTTTGATTAAAACCCCCCTCAGATACCATTTTAGGTCTCTTTATGCACATCAGTGATTGTACACCTTTCACCTCAGTAAAACGGGGGTGTGCAGTATGTGATGTGCCGTAGAGTCACTCCCATCAAAATATGCTGTGGGCATATTCCGAAGTCAATAAACACAGAGCTATGCTATTTTTGGATTGAATTTCAAATATTTTATAGGTGGACATAGCTGTTTAGTTCAGCAGTTTTTAAATTACTGAACATTTATGTTATGGAAATGAGTCTGGGGTCCTATCTACCCCCACTCTCTTCCTAGCCGTTCCTAACAGCTGATGTGAATTGCTGAAGGTCAATATTAGTCCGAGCAACTAGTGGCCACGTGAAGGTGACTAGAATGGAGGACACAACTATGACGGGCTCCTACAGGAACAGAAGCTACTTATGACTTCTGTCACCAGTGTTTTAGGAATTTTTAAATTCAGAAAATAGAAGTTAACTATCTCTTAATCTTCCATTTATAGAATAGATTGATTCCAATCCGGGTTTGGGCAAGTCCATTTATGGTAGAATATTAAAATGGGATTGAAAGTCACCTCCTCTGGAGAGCCTTCCAGGTTATCATTGTTAGGACAATGTCCATCTCTGTGCTCAGTAGCTCTCCATCTGTGTCACCCCCCATTCTCACACAGACTGTGCTGTGTTTTAATTATTGTTCCACTTGTCTCTTCTCTCCAAGAGATGATAAGATCTCTAAGTAAAAAGCATGTTTCTTTAATTTTTGTGTCTTCAGTACAAAACTTCCTATTTCTGGCATCTAATGTGCACTTTAGAAATGTTTTGGAAGAAGAGAAAGGAAGACTTCAAGGGAGGCGAAGAGCAATTTAGCTTAGTTACCAGAGATGAACCATAGGTTGAAATTGAAGGATGAAATAAAAAGTAAAAATCAAGGAGGGTAGAGAAGAAAAGCTGGAAGACATGGGACCCAAAATACTGATATTGTCAAATGAACAATATGGTTCCAGGTACGTCCATAAATATAATTTGTGAAGAATAAAATATTCATACCAGGGAAAATACATCCACTTACTGAATTACAAACAGTATTTAAAAAAAAAAAACTTACTCTGTATGTTCTACCAGAATCTATAGAAAGGCTGTTTGTTGTCTCCGGCTTGAAAAGCTGTGGTATATTTAATTTCATTCTACTAAGGTTATCGCTGATGCATTTAAAGTCTTTATAGAGGATCTACCCTGTGTGTGGTGATTTATTAAATAATGGACATTTAGATTTGAATAATTCAAGCCCCAAGCCTGAGGAGCACACAGTAGAATAGAATATTCAGAGTATGGCGTGATACAGATAGTTATGGAAGCATGTTTATTATGCAGCCTGTATATTGTGCAAGAATCTCAGAGGAGCGGCTTCTGTAGGAGTGCTCTAGAAGCTTTAAGAAGGAGGTGACTGCCTTGGCAGAGTGGTTAATAGGAGTATGTGGAGAGGGGAGAGAGAAATACAGATGAACCTAAAGAAAGAGGCAGATGTCAGATCGTGGAAGATCCCACCTATGGAGCTTGGCCTTTCTCTTGCAGAGAGATGGTGAGAAGCCAGATAAGGGATGACTCTAAGTTGCTTGGAACCTTATAGATTGACTAGAAATTGGTACATTACAGAGACACAAAGACGAATTTGATGGATCAGCTACTTCTTTATGCCAAATGGCCAGCCTTTGGGGCAAGGACATATAAACATAAAAAGAACAGAGATGCCCAACCCTTGAATTTCCCTCATCAGTCCAGGTAGACATCTTTGGTATTCTACAAGTGATAAGGCCTGCAGATATTAGGGGTCCCTCTGAAGCCAAAACTGGTTATGTGGGAGTGGCTGAACCTTGGGGTAGGATTTATGAAATCACCCACTCTCAGGTCCGAAGGGGCTTTCAACTTCCCAGTCCAGCTCTTTTACCAGATTCCTACATAAAACAGGCCAGGGAGAAGCTCATTCTTACATGGGCAGCTAAGCTGCTCCTAAGAGACGTATCTCCGTAGAGGTCTTTTTAGCACTTAGGAAGTTCCACAGTTTGAACCAAAGTCCTGTCCAGTCTACTCTTATACTCACTGGCTCTGCTTCT